TAGGATGGCTTGTAATATTGCTTTTGAGCATTCAGTAATTCAGCAGTAACATCTTTTAGATGGTGTAAATAGCTGTGCCTTATGGAAATGTACAGTGCAGTATAGTGATGCATGTTTTATCCCATAGTCCTTTACTTTTTATTTAATGTTAAATTACTTTGTCCAAACTTCTAGTATGCAGGTGGAACTCTACTCGGTCTCTTGTAGTCCTTTCAAAGACTGGTTAGAAGTAAATTGTTCGAAATTACTTTTTGCCCCTGTCCTCTCAAAATCTACTTTGCATATTGACTGTAGTGCCAAAAAGTAACATAGCATTATCTAATAAATTACTCTTTAATTTGCATCATCATTATATATATGCATCATCATATGATGTATATGTATTTAATATAGAATATATATATTCCTATCATACTTAGGAAGCTCATAAACTTGAAACACAGTTTCCGCCCTTAAAACGAATAGCAGAGTGCTGTCCAATTCATGTTTTCTTGTAGGCCACACACGTAGAGGTTGAACATTTGTCAGTGACCCACTCAGCGGTGGATATAGCATGCCTAGGTTCAAAGAGGTGCCTGACTGAAAGGATTTTTTTTTTCTTGCCACTTACGCTTGAATTTGACTTTGTTGCAAGTGTCAGTTACATAAAACACAATGTAATTAATGAATATGAACTTTGAAATTACAACCTTTGCTTTTAAGTCCTTTGCTGTCTTACAGGCTTGTGCAATGCACTTCTACTGCTGTGTGGAGTTTTTTTAAATCAAGTGTTGTTGAAGCAAAATTCAAGTCAAATTGCTTTTCCTCGTTCATTTCTTCATTGCTTCCAGATCATTTCATCATTTTGTCTTTTCCTGCTTCAGGTGACTTCTTCTACCAATCATTTAGCTAACTGTCATTTTATTCTACACTACCTTGTCTAATAGTCATAGTGTCCCAAGCATAAAAATCTAGTAGAAAATTTACAGAAACTGCTTTAAACAGCTGTGAAATATCCACAAGAACTATTGAGAAGAAGCTGAACTGATAGTTTGAGTATGTAACTTCTGAAGTATTGCTCACTTCTGCAAAGGAGGGGAGTATTCCTGTTGAAGGTGGTGAGTGTTTCCTTCTTACTGGCATGAGTAATAACACACAAAAATAAAACTCAGTCACTCCTTTCTTTAGGATATGATGCATTTAATACTGTTCATATATGACTTATGGAGTAAACAGCTGATGTGCACAGATAGTCTGTCTGTGTTGAGGTTGAGTAGGCCATAATTTTGAACATCTAGGAACAGTTAAACTGGATATTCAGAATATATAAACATATAATAGCTGTCCTCGTGTGCTCCATGTACTAACCTGGAGAGGTGTCAGAGGGTTTTCAGACTACAGTGTCACTAAGCACAAATTGGAAAAACAAAGCTGAGGCAGGAGCCTGATGGAGCTGACTGTCTTAAAACAGTAGGAGACTGAGCTGCTTTTTGATAAACATTTAAATCAGAGGATTATTTAACTTGTGGACAACTATAGGTTTATCTTCTTTCTTCTGTCATCCTGTTGTGGACTCAAGACACATAATCTACTTCAAGTGTGTTACTAGTCTTGGAAGGAAGTATGTGTTCTGCAGGAGATTTCTGTCTTGACAAGTAGAGTTTGTTGTAGAAGAGGCACAGATGGAAGAGTCCAGAGCTGTTTTATGTTAGTATTCAGTTTCTTTGGCTTCGAGCAATACAATTAGTCATTGCAATTACTAAGTAATGAAGTTACTCTTTTTAGATATTCTATGTGGTGTCTAATTTGGTTTAAGTGCATCTAGCTTCTACTTGGTTTGTCTTGAAAGCAGTAAGTTTAGACACTAAGAAGGCGGGAAAAAGCAGCACAGAAGGAAAACTTGTTTGAATTAAGCTGGCCAGGTGTCTCTAACTTTATTTGAGTAAAATTTGTGTGCAGTGGGCATGCTGATCTTTCTCCATCTGAAATTCATAATCAGATGGGACTTCTGTCTGGCTTGTACAGCTGCAGTGGTTTAGCATAAGTTTGCACTGAAGTCCTGTACATCACTGGAACACTTAGAAGAACTGAGCTTCTAAGTTCTTGCAAGCCAGTTGGCACTTCCCCACCAAGTGAGAAATACCACCAGCTGTCAGACATACTGTACAATAATTGGGATATCTAATGGGTCTTTTGAAATAGCTGCTTCTACTGCATTTGGTGAAATGCTTGTCTGGATTTTCTAAAACTCATCCATCTGTATATGAACTGACAAATCTCTTAAAGAAGCATCTTCCTGTAATGCAAGCAGAAAGACTTCAGAGGTCCCTCAAGCATTCGATTCCAGAAATGGGGTTCAATTCACTTGTTGAGAGCAGAGATTCATCTTTCTTATGTGTTTCTGTGAAGAAAATGATTTTTTGACTGATAATGTGTAATTGAACCACTAATTGTCAGGCACAGTTTGGACCTTTTTAAGAAGTTTTACCTTCTCTTAATCTTTTCAAATATATAAGACCTTTGGAATGCTAGATCTGAACACCTTTGAATTTTAGATGATAGCCAAAATTAAACAAAACTGAATTAAATAAAATAAATAATTCACAGGATTTTTGAGGGTAGAGGGACTTCTGGAAATAATATAGTCAACTGCCCCTCCTCAAGAAGGTTCTCCTTAAGTAGATTGCCCAGCACTATGTCCAGCCAGATCTTTAATCTCCAGGAATGGAGACATCACAGCCCCTCTGGGTGGCCTGCTTCAGTGTTTCACCACCCTCACAGTGAAAGATTTTTTTTTAATTGCAAAACTGCAGAAATTACTTCAAGCTTGTCCTGAATAAGTTACTGGATTTTGTTTGTGCAGCTTCCTAGGTTAGTCTACTAATAGTCATCAAGCTTAACTAATAGAATGTCGGCCGAAGAACTGGGCATGAATGATACCCGTTAACAGCGGTGTATGCTCTTTGCCTACAGTTGCCTGGGTGTTGTTAATGTGAAAAATAGATGACATGAACAGAGGGGTAATAGAAATAATTTCTGCACATCTTTTTCTGTTCACTCTGGAATTAGTGAGTAGTGTATAGGGAACTTCTTACGTGAAATAGCTTTCTCATGTCTTTTAAGGTTGTGGTTTAAATGGGTTCCTTCATAGGAGATTAATACCACCAAAAATCAGCATTTCTGTATTACGAGATAAAACCAAAATAAGCCATGCACAAAGAGACATTCCTTTAAGTTGCTCTTTTTTGGAGAAAGTGCTGGGAAGAATTTCCCCACACAGTGGGAGTGATGGAGGTGACAGATACAGAAATTCGTGTACGGTAATCAAACTAAGAAGGAAAAAGGTCCTTCTAGGATAAGGAGCAAGGTAGAGCTGTAACTTAATACAGAAATGCTTCTGCATATTTCCATATTGTTGTTAGAGAAACACCAAATCTCTGAGGTTGGAGGCACTTCTGGAGCTTGGGTAGTCCAACCTCCTGCTCAGAGCAGGGTTGTCTAGAGCAGGTTGCTCAGGACTTAGTCCAGTTGGGTTTGAGATGTTTTTTGTTAATAACTATTAACCTGCTCATGGCTTCATCTAGCCAATATGTTTGTGTGTGCAGTTTTGAGGAGGAGATTGGGATGAAGGGAGGTAGCTTCAGGGGTGGCTTGGTGGTGGTATCCTCTAACTTTTGGTGCTGTGGTAAACAAATTTGTACAAAATGATGAATGCCAGCAGTGGTGGGCTTGTTAATAAATCCCCTCTTATTATTCAATCAGCTACAAACTTCCCATCAGTCTTTTTGCTTTATATACAGAATGTATTAAGTAGTATAGGTACCACACAAGAACTCAATACAGCATAGGTTCCTTTATGAGTTTGCTAGCAATAAATGAATTTGCTATTCGTGCTTTATGTAATACTGTTTACCCTTTCATATTGTTGTATCTCCTAATCTAATCTTAAAAAAATAGCACTTGGTGAATTGGATATGTTGGATGCTTCCCTTTGGCTTGTTGACTGCTTTTTGTACCTCACCCGTTTGTTTAAAAAACAAAAAAGTCAGGGAATATGAGGCAGTGTTTCTGAAAATGTCTGTGCTAATAAAGGACAGTATTCTTACTAAGTGGTATCATTTTGCTATGTAAAATTCTTGCTATGTAAAATTTTTCTACCTACTTGCATTCTTAGGCACTAGAAATATTTTTAAAGGGGTATGCTGAAGGCAGCTAGTTAAGGATGGTATACTTCAGGTTTTGAAGTTGTCAAGAGATGGCTACTGCTAAACTCTCAAGTGTTTTAAGTGCTTAGATTACACTGTTAGAAATGGGCTGTGGTTCAGTGATTAAAAGGTAATTAAAAATGCTTTATGTCTATCTAGCATCTGAATTACCAATGCTAGAAGAACCTCAAAATGTTGCACCTTTGGATGATATTTAGCTTATAACAAGTTACTTGTACCAGTTGTTTTGAATATAGGAACAAAATGAGCTCTTAAACTCCTTGTTACTGAGAAGCTCTATTTAGTGTGTGGATAACATCTGCAGAGATGTTCGGCTTCAAATTTGGAACAAATTCTGATATTGAGGTATACTTGAAACACTCATTTTCAAGCACTCATCCAGAATTTTGGCATTTACTTTCCATGTAAAATTGAAATGTTCAAAAGTGAGTAGTGGATTTTTTGATACCACCTTAACCTTGAAGCTCCTTCACTTCCTCCAGTCTCTAACAGATCGTAACAAAATCTTGACCCTATTTTCCATAGCAATTTTTAAGTCTTTCATTAAACCTACTGTAGCTGTTTTTGCATTGAACTTAGGGCAGCCTATGGGAACAGAGGAAGCTAGTTAAAAAACACCAACCTTACTGGAAAAATTAGGTGTTGTGAGCCTTTGAAACTTTATCTGTGGCAGATACTGTTCTTTAATATCAACAATTTTTACTCAGTGCGTCCATACAGATTTTAAATGCTGTTAGTTATCCATTGTGTAGCACTGCAGTACTAATGATCACTCTTCTCCCTCTTTTTAATCAGGACAGAGCTTGGGTTATGGTTTTGTGAACTACGTTGAGCCCAAGGATGCCGAAAAAGCTATCAACACTCTGAATGGATTGAGACTTCAAACTAAAACCATAAAAGTATGTAGTGTTACTTATGATTTAAAGAAACTGAAGTGTTTTGACTTCTTGTTGAGCACATGCATGATTTTTTTTTTCCCTTTCCAAGTGTAACTAAGCATTCTGCTAATGTCATTAGAATAGACTAGGACTTCACCATGTAGCAGGTGGTTAGTCCTTTCTAGTCTGTTTAGCTCTACAGGTAGATTATTATTAAGGATAGAAAATTCTGATTTTTTTAATGCACTTAATAACATTTTAGATACGAGCTTGAATTGTTTTAACTGAGAAATTGTTGTATGCGTTTGCAGAAATGCAGTATTGCATATGGTGTGACCACCATATGCGTGCTTCCTCCTTACTTTATCAAAGATAGCGTAACTTGCTTATTAATACACCCTTTTTAGGTTGCTAGTGTCTTGTTTCTCTTACAAATCCTTAAAATGAAATGCTGAAATTACTGTTGTGGTTATCTATGAATTACTGGACTCCTAGGGCTCTAGTATCTAGGTCTCCAATGTTTGGGATTCCTGTTTTTGCGTTGTAACTTCTGTACCTCATGTTTACTAAATTCAGTTTCTGAATTTCTAGAAGCAGAAATCTTAAGAGTTATTTTTTCTCACCTACCATCTTACTCCATTATCAGAGTGGGGATACTCATTTGAGCAATTGTCTGGGCTCTGAAATCTTGGGAGAGGAGAGGAAATAGATTCTATAAGGGAATGCAGACCTCTGAACATGTTTCACAGGTGTTGGTGCCTGAAGGCAATCCATGTTCCAGCCATCTCATTCTTTCTCATTACACAGCAGGGTTTGCTAGCTTGAATAGTGACTGCCCTTTAACTAGGATCATGTTTGAGCCATAAGATAAAGCTTACCTTTAAAAAGGTTTGAACTTAAAGCAATGCAGAGCCTCTTAAAAATGACTGAGACAAAGATAAAATGGCAGTAATTACGGTTAGAATGCTCTACCTGTTCTGGATTCATAAGATGTAATGAAGTGGATTACACTATTAGAAACTTGAATACTGCTGTTTAACAAATGGTGAATCATGACTCACAATAATGCATGAAAGACATGGATAGATGCTTTGCTGTAGAAAGCTTGCTGTGTGCTTCTGGCAGACTTCTTGCCCACAGGCAGTCACTCCTACTTTCTGCTTCGGGGAAAATTGGGGAAAGTCAATGCTCCAGGTTTTTTGAAGCTCTTTTGGGTGGTGGTGAAAAAAGGAATAGGTTTGCATTCCAGTAGTATTGCAGGTGCACTGTATCTTTGCATTTAATGTCTTGGATTGGACAAATAAAAAACGCATCTGTCCAGGGTGATAAGCTGGAAGTTCTCGTGACTACATAGCTAGGCTAAAAAGGATATTGTTCTTAGAGAATCAAGCCAGGTCTCCCAAATCAAAATGATCCCTTAAGGGCTTTTCCAGTGACTGACTTTATGCTGCCAGTATATGAATTCTTAATCCTCTTTTACCTTGCTAAGTGGTTAATGCAAACAGTATTTCTGCACCTAAAAAGTGATTGTAAAAAAGGTTGGGGTGGGGTGGAGAGAGGAGGAAGTGAAAATGGAGTAGACCGATGTGGGTAGTGACACTGGTGCTTTTCCTTTCCTGCCTTCCCAGGACATGAAAATGGAATTGTAGGTTATAAACAATACAAGACAGTGACCTTTGCAGGGAGACTAAAGCTGATGTGTAAATTTTCAGGATTTGCACCTTAGATGTTCTTAGCTCCTTAGCTAAAGAAAATTTGAAACATTTGAGTTGTCACAAGCCATAAATGATGACCTCTTCACCAAATAAACAAAATCTCTTTCTTCAGAAAAATACCTGTAAAAGTCTTACTCTAGCTACCCACATTCAGCCCTGTTTACCTTCAGCAGCACTTTTTCAGTGTTAGTGTACATGATTTGAGGGGAAACACTGCTGTAGTCCTTTATCCTCTACTTATCTTCCTTCGTGTACACAAGCTGGATTTCAGGACAAGTTTTCATGACTGGATTCTCCCAAGATGCTGTTGAAAGAGGCTGGTTTTATCCCTTTCCACATTTCAGAAGGGGCAGAGGCTAGGGGAATCCTTAATATGTTTTAAGACTAAGGCTTTTGTACGTTGGACAGTTGCTTCTCTTATTAAAAGAACTAAGATGTTTGTGCGGCAGTTACTCGAAAGGAGACTTAACAAGAGTGTCTGCCTCTCTCTGTGAACCAGTAGAAATGTTCAGCCTACTGTGAAGCACTTTGTAAATTACATACTCTGCAGATCAGCCTGGAGGCAATACTGAGCAGAGGCAAAGCTGATGTCTGAGGCCTTTGCTGCCTCTGGGGGCAACATCTGGGATGGAGAGAGTCTCTTAGGAGATCTCAGTGCTAGGACCTTTGTGGAGACTACTTGCAGTTTATAGACCACAGTGTTGCTATTAGGCTAGGGGTCATACTTAAATTAAAAAAAAAAAAAAAAATCTGTTTGACTAACTCAGAAGCCAACCCTTAACACTTAGTTTCAGCTTTAGAAAAATGGATGTCCCTTAGATTTTTGTATATATGTTCACATGAAAAATGATGGGATAGGATGGATAGTGGATATTTTGACTTCAAAAGAAAATTAGATGTTTGTTCTCACTGTACATTTTTAGGAGTTCTGTGGAAATGTTTACTAGTTCACTAGATTGATGGTTGAAAGTGCTTGTTTCCTGTCAGTCTACAAAACTGGAACAAACACTGTTGATTAGGTGATGGACCCTGACATTGTGGCTGAACTG